CTGTGCTTCACCTTCACCTGTGCTTCCAACAGTGCAGTGAGATCGACATAATGTTGGATCAGTCTGCAGATTTGAGGTCTGTTTGCACTGATTTGTTTTACCAACCACGTGTGCGGCTTAAACACTGGGTGAACAACATGACGAGTGATCTGCCTGTCGCTGTGTCTTGTTGACAGTTCGGCTGTGGCATATTGGCGTTAGCGCAACCGACATCTGCTTTCTGGGAGATTAGATGTTACCGGACTGTGCTAGCTGGCTCTGCAGCTTCGGTCCAGGCTTGGTCTCTAATCGGTGCTGGCACGACCTCCTTAAAGGCTGGAGGCGTTGACAGGGCCGTCTGAGCCTCCCTCCCCCAACCTTTCATTCCTTCTGTTCGTCTCTCCATCCATCCAGTTTTCTCCTTATCTCTTCCGTCTCTCTGGACTTCAGACTCTGACAGATCTGCTTTGTTGCTCGGCTCATGATGAGCACTGAACCCTCCCGAAGAGGTGAAATCTGAATATGAGCTCATATTTTAATTTGACACTGAGATTATTTTTCAGCTGTCATTTTAAATGTCTCATTTTTTTCTTTAAACTTGATCCAGACCTCGATGCTGACAGGTTGATTATAGCCTCGTGCTGATGGCTCTTTCTGCTTGTGGTCGACCGATATTGGTTTTTCAATTACCAATAGAAAATCTTTAGAGAGCAGGGTGGCCAGTATGTATTGCTGATATCATAATTTTTCAGATTGGAGACTAAGAGAGGATGTGGAAGGAGCACAGCCTCTAACTTCTAAAGTGGTTTTGGAAACCGTAATGACTCTGTCCTTTGTGATTCAGCTTCACATCGACCTCACTGGCCTCCGAGGTTTGGCGATCATGTCAGGGAGTGTCTCTTGACATCAATGTGGTTGTACTGGTTTTACTTTAATGGCTTAATTTATTGGCTCCTTAAAGGACAGGTCCTTTAAAAATGCTTATGTTCAGAATAAAGACCATCAACTTTTTATAGCATTTTTTTTTTGGTCATCTTATAGAAACTGTAAACTTGTGCATTTTAGATTTTATATTGCAAAGTCAAGACCCTGTATCAAAGATTGACTGTTTACTGTTTACTGTAAGCTTAGCTCAGGCTTGGTATCCACAAACTCCAGATCATTAGACAGTAAATGCTCCTATATTTGCTAGCAAGTTGCTAACGTTATCGTCTGCGATTAGAAGCAATGGATGTGCGGTTGGATATTATGAGAACAAGTCTTTAGTCTTTGAATGCGCTCCCATGATTACTAGCTAAAGACTCAGTCACGCTATAGTAAAAATGGGGCAGCAACCTCCTTGCAACTGGTGGCTACCTCGTTATTAAACTGAATATTTTGCTATCAGAAACCAGCAACCGCCTGGCTGCCCAGAGTTGAACCACTCTTGGCCTCTGGGCAACCACTTTGGATGGATGGTGATTGCACAGATTACCTTGAGGAAGGCAACAATCACAGTCTGATTCAAAGTGACTGCAGTCGCTCTCACACTGATGAAGGTTCACACATAATTGCCACGTAATTTATGAACACAGGCTGTCACGTTGTTGCAGTCAGTCTGAGTTTGTCTACGCAGGTGAGCGTTACTCGTCTTTGACACTCAATTCAACTGGTTGGCAACTGGTTGTATTTGGGTTATGTTCCTTTATTAAAGGCTGAATAGTAAGGCTGTCATTTTGTACTTAAACTGCTGCACTGCAGCAAGTCTGTAACTATTTGTCTGTCACAGCGAGTGAGAAGAGCCATGTGGAAAAGGAAAAAGAGGATCCAAGCGCAGGCAGTCGTGAAGGTGTGAAGGTGATTTATTGAAAACAAAAATATGGAGAGGCAAACGGCAAAATGGAGAACTAAACTATACTGGGACAACTAAACTACAGAGCATGAACAAGAACAAGAACACGAACCTGAACATAAAGGAAGGAAGGAAGGAAGGAAGGAAGGAAGGAAGGAAGACGATGGTACATGATGATGACAACAGGGAACACACGGATGAAACATGGTGGATACGCAGGCGGACCAGCAACTACAAAGACAGAGGACACAAACTTAAATACACACAGAGAAACACAGGGGAATTACACACAGGTGGTGGACACAGCTGGGAATAATCAACAAGACGAGACAGAGGTAAAACTGAACACACTCACATGAGGCGCAGACCTTCACAATAAAACAGGAAACGAGAACACTACACCAAGACGCAGACCTGACACTGAGAGACAGACAGAGAATGACACATGGAACCTGAACTAAACTAAACGTGAGATACAACCGAGAACAAATCCTTAACACAAATAAACAGAAACATGAAACTCTAATAATAAACATCATAATCATTAACACAAGAGAACAATCCCTGATGCAAAATTAAACCAAAACATAAACTCAAAATACTGGGTCAAACTGACCCAGAACCGTGACATTGTCAAGGAATTCCTAAATTTCTGTTTCAAATCTACGAGGTTCTGGCTGCACTCAGGTCAGGGAATAAGCATCACTCCCTAGCAACCAGGGGTTGTCCAGGGGTTGCCAACCAGTCTCTAGGTGTGTGTGGTTGAGGAGAGTCACGTTATAAATGGGAAGTCATTGGTTCTTTTTGCGGTGACCTGAGTGAGACAAATTCTGACCGAGAAAAAAATCTGAACCTGTCGTTTGTTTCATTAAATCCACTCACCCTTCCAATTATTCAAATTTGCACTCACTCAGTCTTTTAGCCACTCCAGCACTCGGCTCATAATCCCTGTATTTATTAACATCTTTGACATCTCTAGTAGCTCACGTGATGGATTACTGGCCCGAGACCATTGTTAGTCTCTGCACTCTAAATATATTTCATTTCATGTGGTTTGAGGTCGGAGGCCTGGTGAAACCGGGCTGTGTGTGCTTCTGCTCTGCTGGTCCGGCCTCTGCAGTCTACAGACATCCCCCCCCTCACCCTCCGGTTCCCCCTCGCTGTCTTTGTTTCGGTGCTGCTGCTGCTGCACTTGGCCATGCCTGCAAATGAGCACCAGGACAGAGCAATTATTCACCACAGGGGCAAACCCTGCACCCCTCCTTTGTACATACAATACACACACACACACACACACACACACACACACACACACACACACACACACACACACACACACACACACACACACACAGTCTACAATGGAACACTTTTATATGTGATGTAACTAACACACCTCCAGGGGGTGCTGTTTTTACACGACAGTCCGGCTGTTGTCAGGTTTTCTCACCTTCTGTTTGGTTTTGTTTCATCTTTTGAGGTTTTTACGCCGTTTTTAGACTCTGAGATTTTCCGTGAATACCTTTAATCGCGTAGAAGGAGGCCTGCTGTGTTTGACTTCCTCTCAGGAATCTGTGGACGAGCTGGACGGAGACGCTCACTGGGACCAAGACCTGCGATCCCCAAAGGCCGAGCCATCCAAGGCTCGCAGGCTAAAGCTAGACCGGGTGAGAAGCAGGACCGGAACCAGGACCGGGACCGGTGCTGAGGATGGGGGACGGTGGTTTGTGCATGCTGCACTCAGTGTGAGTCTTCCTACACAGTGCTACTCATCACATCACAGATCACTGTGAACTAAACAAAGAGCTCTGCGGGGAAGACGACAGTAAGGACGTGTGAGGTGGTGATAGGCGTGCAGTGTAGACCGCTTCCTGTCTGATTCGCTGTCAGTGCTGAAACGTTTGAGCTGGTGTGCAATCAGAAGGTTACATATGGGTGACAGCTTGTGCTGAAGTGCACCGTCGCCCTCTTTAGGTTGGAGGGTGTAAATGAATCCACAGAATCGCTTCAGTCTGATGACGTGTTTGAAATCATCAAAATAAATTTAAATGTAGCTCAGCTGCTTCAAACCTCACACCTGTCTGATACTGAACTGATGACAGTGTGTGTGTGTGTCTGCAGGGAGGCAGGTGTGTGTGTGACCACAGTGAAGCAGAGAAGAAGAGGCTACAACTGGAAACCAGAGAGCTGCGACACACACTGAGACAGCACAGGTAACACACACAGACATGGATACACACTGCTCTGGGATCAGGGTTTAGGATCAACGCTGAGAGGAGCTGAAGCCCCGACAGCAGAAAGGACGATCCAGCAGGGACACGCTCATGCAGGGACGAGGTGGCTGAGTGGTTAAGGCGATGGCCTGCTAATCGTGGGTTTGAATCTTATCCTCATTGGCTTGGTGGAGTTTTAAAAAGTTCAAAGTGTTGGGCTTTGGATCCTGGACCTCAGGAAGATGTCAGTGATGAAACAGTTAATCAAAGATGTGAACATCAAAATTATTAACGAATAAATACAGAGAAATCAGGATGTTCACCTCTGCTGAGGTTTCTGATTTTTACAGGTTGTCACCAAAACTCATTCAGGTTAT